AGACTAAATCAGAGACTTCAGGAAACACAGCAACATCTCAAAGAGCGGCATGAAAAACAACTGAGCAGCAGCATTTTAGGGAAACACGAGTACAAGCAAAATGTACTCAGAAGTCATTTGGATACATTTGAAAATGAGTATGACTCAGACAGCTTCAGTGATCAGCTTCTAGAAATCCTCTCTTTGAAAAGTAACATTGAGGTTTCAGACCTCAGTCTCATTGATTTATCAGCTGATCGGCTTGGGAAGATCCTGTCAGCTCTGGACACGCTTCTGTTCGATGAATGGATCAGTGCTCCTCCATCTCTTTGCACTCTGCAGCACGCTCAAGTGTACATCACAGAGCTCTGTGTCCTGTCTCTGGAAACATCAGAGGAAGATTCTCTAGAAAGCATCTGCAGTCATGTGCACTCTCTGGTGGAGTCCATCAGCCAGTCAGCATGTAATGTGTCTGAGAGCTTCATGCTGACTCAAGCCCTTTATCTTACCCTGATGCACTTTCTCAACGACAGCCAAAAGTCTGATAGTGATGCGGTCCTCATAGCCAAGCAATGGGCTGAAGGAGAGCTCTGCACTGAGCACCTCTTTGCTACAGAAATCCTCAGCCTCCTCATATCATCACTGGATGATGTAGTTGACAGGTACTACATGCTGGTTTTCAACATAGAAACCCAGTGCTTGAAGCTTTTATTATCCACTCTTGCACTTCTGATTGGCAAAGAAACCCACTCTGAATCTTCTGAAACAATTCTTAAACTTGTCGACACACACCGATGGACACCAATGGAGGCACTGACTCTGCTCAAAGTTCTGTCACAGAAGTGTACAAACGATGCTTCAATAAGAGGAGTGCTAATGATGATCCAAGTGTATGACATATCACCAGAATGGACAGATGAGTCAGGACGCTCTATCACCCAGGTTTTCGATTTAGTTGACCCTAAAAGATTATGTGAAGATTTCCAAATAAGTCTCAGAAATATCGATGGAAGCAGGCTGCTTGCAGCTCTGGAAGAAATAAAAATCTCCCATAATTTAGATGGTCACATGGTTGATATGATAAAAGACATCACCACTGAGGTCTTGCAGTACTCACAAAATGAAAAGAAAGTGGCGACACTTCAAAAAGACTGCCTAAAATATGAAGCTGTGAATGCAGCTTATTTACAGAAAACTTTGTCTCAGCTCTGTAAGGCAGTTTTTGACACAAAAGGCTGGTGGCCCACAGTGAAGCACATGTTGCAGTGGTGCGTACTGATGGTGAAGGAGCAAACTGGAGAGCCACTACTGTTTGGTGTGGAAGACGAACCGTGTGCCATAGCCATGTTTGCAGCAACACACGCCAGCTCTGGAAACAAAATGAACATTGTGCTGAGCTCTGTTGGTGAGGCAGAGGAGCAAACTAACCAATGGTCTGCCTTCTACAAGAACCTTGGATTTGCTGTCAACACAAACACAAGAAGAGACATAACATCCTTACAGGATGTATACAAGGCAGACATTGTCTATGGTACACTGGACACTTTTGTCTGTGATTACTTTGAAAGCAGCATGAATTGGATGGAAACAGAGATTCCTGAGCTAAATCGAGGATACATCATTGAACAACAGTGTTTGAACTCCTTTCACAATTTGGAACTTTCAAGACTTGAAGTCAAAGATTCCCTGAAGTTTGCTGCAAGAGTCCTGAATAACCTTATGTGTAAAGTTCAAAGTAAAGATGGGGCACTAAAACAATCTTTTCTGAAGGCGTTTCTCAAACTACTCCACATGAACCAAAACAACAACTCAAAGACTGAGAGTAACATCACCAACATCTTAAGGAAAATTAGTGCTAAGAGATTGGCTCCCAATCAAATCTTCATATTCACCTTCCTTGAGAACCTCCAAACTGAGGCTGAGAGAGAGGCTGAAAAAAGCATGACATCACCTCCTGACAAATGGTATTTGGAGGTTCTATTTGCTTGTGCAGAAGAACTCTTGGCACTCAAAAAAGAAGCTAAGGATATCTTTGAGATGGCTTTAAACCTTGAACTTTGGTCACCAGCAGAAACCTTGAACCTCCTTGGATCATTAACTAGTCACCATTTTCATGAAGGGTGCATTTCCATCATGAAAATATTACATTTGGTGGCAACCTACCAGGTTTCCTCCAAGTGGACAAATGAGAGCAACCATTCACTTATCCAGCTCTTAGGTTCAAAAAGAGCAGATAGTCTGATTGAACAGCTTGAAAAGTCCCTTAGAGATGAGAAAGTCAAAGATATTGACACTCTTGTTGATGAAATACGGCAGATGAACGACACTGATGAACAAACACTGAGAAAAACACACAGCGTCGTAAGTCAAGTGACAAAACTGATCGAAACTGGTGAAATTGCAAAACACAACAATGCAAAGCAAGCAAGACATCTGTCTCACAGCTTGGAAACAGAAAGCCTCCAAGAGCTATTGGCAGTCTTATGTAATGCTGTTCACCTGTGCATTGCTGGAGGGAGGTGGTGGCCCAGAACCACTCAGATGATTAGCTGGTGCCTCTTGGCCTTGTCTGAAAATGGGAAGCTCCTGGAAATGGGCACCGGGGAGGGAAAGTCTTGTGTCATAGCAATGTTTGCTGCACTGCGTGTGCTGAGAGGTGAAAAAGTAGATGTGATCTCGACTTCTTCTGTGTTATGTGAAAGAGATGCTGAAGAATGGAGGGAATTCTACAAGTATTTTGGCATTACAGTTGATACAAATACAAATAAGACCGACGACAAGAAAAGAAAAGGGTGTTACCAAAAGGACATTGTCTATGGAACCATTGAAACCTTTGCTGCAGATCACCTTCGGCAGGTATTTGAGATGAAGGATGTGAGACCTGATCGCTGCTATCAGTGCATCATAATTGATGAAGTGGACTCGCTACTTCTGGATCAGGGAGTGCAGCTGACATACCTATCCACCCCCATGGTCTCCATGCAGCACCTGAACACCATTCTGGCCATGATCTGGGGCCATGTCTGCCAGTATGGTTACCTGTCCTCAGGACAACAGGTATTTGTACAAGGTCCTCCAGCTTCATTCTTCAAGGTCATCTTTGACTCAATCAACACAGATGAGAGCGAAATTAATGACCCAATGGACATTTTATACATCGCTGAAGAGACAAACACTGTGCCAGAAGGATTTACAGAGGATATCTACAAGAGTGAAAACAATGAAATTCTTCAGAAACTGGGAACTGTAAATCAGGATGCTGTAGTTGATTTTTTGGGGGAAATGGAGAGCTATGTTCCCTATGGCTTTACAGTGTACACTTTAGATGATGACGGACTGCTCTGTCTGAAAAAGCGCAGCTCGTACAACAAGCTCAACATTCCAGAGTTGAAGTTTCTTGTCTTAGAGAAAGGTTTATGCTGTCCTCTCTATGACTCAGAGGACATTCTTATCGGGCCCATTGCAGAATTAATCTCTGACAAAATACAGTATACCCCATGCAAAAACAATGATAACAAAATCAGCATTCCAGGATTCTTAAAGAATTTGATTGAGAAGAAAATGTCAGCTTGGGTTCAGAATGCTTTTCTGGCAACGAAGCTGAGGGAAGGACAGGATTATGTTGTAGAAAATGACAATATCTGTCCTGTGGACTTCAGATCCACCGGTGTTGTAGAACTGAATAAGAAATGGGGGGATGGCCTGCAGCAGTTTGTTGAGATCAAACACCAAATCAAACTCAGCACAATTTCAGCAGTGACAAACTACATTTCTAATGTCTCTTTCTTCAAAAAATACCAGGGAAAAATGTATGGAACAACAGGTACACTTGGTGGCAAAGCAGATATTTTGTGTTTGCAAGATCTATATCCAAACCTGACTGCCCTCAAAATGCCAACTTTCAACAGGAAGAAGTTGTTTGAGGTCAAAGGTATCGTGAAAGAGTCATCCCAGGAGTGGATATCTGAAATAAACCGTATGGTTATGGATCAGATTTCCCCAAACACATACAGAGATGGAAGAGCAGCCCTGGTGATCTGTGAAACTATCAATAGAGCCAAAGAGATCTATGAGGATCTAAAAGGCAAAATCCCAGGTGATATCATTCTCTACTGCCGCAGTGACAAAGACAGTCTGAGCAAAATAGACAAGAAACTGTGTCCTGGCGATGTTGTTGTTGCCACAAACTTAGCAGGGCGTGGTACAAACATTAAAGTGTCCAAAAAGGTGAACAATAATGGAGGATTGTTTGTGATCCTTTCCTTTCTCTCTGAAAATACAAGAGTGGAACTGCAAGCTTTTGGTCGAACAGCACGGAAAGGTGAACCTGGATCTGCCCAGATAGTCATGTGCACTGAACACGTGCAGCAGGATTTTTTCACGACGATGTCATCTCTTGGGGAAGCTAAGAGCGAAAGGGATAGAATTGCAGCAGAAAAGATTAGTCACATGATGAATGACGTCACTGAGATGAAGCTGCGGGAGGACCTGTTTTCACAGTACTGCAAAACTCTTCAAGATATTCACAGAAACACAGATGGAGATGAGAGAAGAGCTGTTGTTGCTATATTGAATGAGTTCTGGGGGATATGGCTCCAAACCAAATCAAAACAAATTGAGCAGTTGGAAAGAGATGAATTGCAAGAGAGTTTGAAAACTGATTTGGCAATGGCAAAGAGTCAATCTCAGAGTCAAACTTCACCATGTTTGAGCATTTATCACTACATCAAGTTTGGAAACCTTGCAGTTGACGAGAAACAATACGATCTCGGAACCAGGCTCTTCGAAAAAGCCATGATTCAAGATGAAAGTTGGGCAGCCGTAGCATTTTACAGTCATGCATATTGCACAATAAAGCTGCAGAAGGCTGATTACCTTGATAAAGCTCGAGAGGATCTGCAAAAAGCACAACAATCTCTAAAGTATCTCACTGAAGAACCCATGGCCTGTTTGCAGTTCATAAAAATGGCCTCTGCAAACTATGCAAACAATAAATCATCCAGCCTTGAGAAACTGTTAACAACCAGGTGCTATATGTACAGATTATTTGGTGAAAACATCAAAGAAGCCATCCAAAAGATTGATGAAATAAAAGGAAAAGGAAGGGATGCACTGGCCCAAAAATCAACAGTTTTTTCTTTGTTCTCAAATGCTGATGAAGAACTCCAAACAGAAGCCTGCAACCTTTACAGTCAAGGTCTGAAATACGTATTTGCTGTGGAAGAGAAGCCTCATTTCTCGTGGGGAGGTCTGGCAGTTTTCTTTCTTGGACTGTTACAGATTGTTGCTGGAACTTTGGTCACTGTCTTTACATGTGGCTGGTTGGCTCAAGTTGGAGTGGGGCTGATCACTGAAGGAGTATCAGATTGTATTTACGGAATAGAGGCCATGGTGACTGGAGAATTCAGTTGGAAATCATGGGCTATACAGAAATCCATTTCCATTGCTGTGTCAGTTGTTGCTTTTGGAATTGGAAAACTGATAGCAAAAGGCTTTAGAGCTTGTAAAACTTTAATCAAAGGTTTGGGGAAAAAGCTGAAAGCATTGCCTAAGTTTTTTTCCAGACAGGCTAAAGACGGTATAAGTGTCGTAGCAAAAGCAAATTTGAAGAACGCAGTTAAACACACAACAAAAAAGGTAGTGGAGGAAATAATTTGCTATGGCCTTGGGAAGGCAGAGGAGGAAATACTAAAAACAATCTTAAACAAAATAAAAAATGAGGTGCAAAAAGGTATAGCTGATGATGTGAAATCCAACCTTGCAAAAGAGCCCATTGCTACATTAGTGGACTCCATTATCCTTTCCCACCTTGAGGAAAAACATCAACTCAAAGATCTACTGAGTGACAGGAATCGGAGGAGTGACCTGTTGGACGTTTTCAGACACTTTAGCCACATTGCAATGCAACCTTTCTATGCCGATCTCGAATGGCAGAATAAGTTGAATTCTTCCCTCATCAGAATAACTGATGCAGCTAAAGCAGGAGCTAAAGCAGGGGGCAAGGGGAAAATGCATGTCATTTTATTGTCTATTCAAACTGTCCACTACCTGACACTTGCAGGAGATGCAACTGCTACAGCTCTCACCCTCTCCAGCAAATTCTTCAACAACTTTCAAGAAGAGCTAAATACATTTAAAAAAGAAAAAGGATTTTCAGAGAAAGTTATGGTAAATGACTTATCTGCCTCTGACACTGAGGTGCTGGAGGAATTCAAGCAGGAGTTAAACGAGGCTATCAGAGGCTTATTGGCTGATGCTTTGGTAGAAGTGTTCCACCAGAAGTTCTCCAGCCACCTTGTTTCTCGTGTTCAAAGAGAAGTGAACGGTTACCTTCTGAAGCATGTAAGAACTGGATTAAGGAGTGACAGAACAGAGGAAAAACTAAGAGCTGGACAGAACAACAGATATATCACAAACATGCCAGTAAACTTGAATTCTAAAAGCTCTGGAGATGCAGGTGAACATTCAAAGTCACATGCTGAGAAGATCAGGAATCTAGAGACTAAGGGTACCATTTTTGATGTCAGAGTCTTGTCAGAGGCCACTGGCACCAAGGCTGTCATCCTAATAGAGGATAAACGTGGCAGACTCAGAAAAATGCAGGAGATAAACCCAAGCTCTAAACCTACAAATCAAACTGTGGAACTGATCTACAGACCAAGGAGTTATCAATATCCCGATGGCCATTATGACGTGCACATTGATAATAAGATAGTGATTGTTGATGGAAACAGAAACAGCTGCATGTTTCATGCTTTTGCGCATGGCTTGAGACCAAATGCTAGCCAAGAAAAGATAGCTGTGGAGGCAGAGCACCTCCGACATCTGGAAGCCAAAACTCTTCTCAGACATCCAGGCCATTGGGATCCTTTCATCAAACGAAAACTGTGGACTGACACAATCAGAGGAGGTGACTGGTACATGGCAGAGGGAGCTACTGGACATAAACTTACAAAACAAGAGAAAGAGACATGTTTGAACAAGGTTGGAGGAGTAGGAAAATACAAAATAATGCAAAAAGATCAACGAAAAAGAAAAATGGGTAAATACCTCCATGCTGATCACGAGCCTCCTGTCAGTTGTATAGTTGATGCTGTGTCCTCGAACCGGGAGGTTAGTCAACTTGCAAAAGCTATGGCCGAAGTGGCAACAAACACTTCTAGTCCAAATGCGGACCAGATTCTTAAGGTCAAGAAATCACATGGCCGTGAACTACCGTCTGTTTTTGTGCCCGACGAGATACATGCCGAGTTTCCCAGTACAAAATCTCCGGCCTTCAGAAGAGCCTTGACTGAAAGCATCATCAGTGGGGATGTTGAGGGAACATTTAAACTGACCATCCTCGGTTCAATTCCAAGATGCAAATTGGTTAGCAACAAGGGCTTTAAAGATTTTCAGGAAGATAACAACTCAAAGTTCAAGCTAGATGCGTTTGAGAGGAGTTTTCCGCAACACAGTGAAGCGATGCTTGACCATTGGTCTTCCAAGCTTCAAAGCAAGGGTGTCATGACCAGTGAACATTCGGAGAACATTAGAAGTTGGATTAAAAATGAGGGCTACAAAGATCAAAATGATAGATACAGGAACATAGTTGCCGAACTCCTATAATGACAAAGGTAACATAACATTTCACAAACTATTATCCAAATCTATAAAAAATCAATTTAAAATAAAGATATTTTGAATTGTATACAATGTGGCAGTAAGCAGTCAAATTCATGCTTTTCTTGTTCTTTTGTGTGTGTCTATGTACTGGCAGGCTCATGATGACAACCTGTATGACATCGACCCGGCCATTTACTGCCAGCTAAATGCCGCTGGCAACTGGCATAAGATGACCACCTTTCAGTCCTGTGTACCTTTACTGATGTCATTCAACAGTTGAAAGTACGACGAACAAGAGGAAAACAGGGATTTTTCCGGCCTCGCCAAAAACAGAATTTTATAATGGACAGGATTCAAAGTGTCCCCACCATAGATAAGTTTGTTCCAGCCTATTTGCTATGATGTCGCAGAAATTTTTAAAACAAGCTATTCTGGTATGTAGATTAGATGAAAGCATTTTCAGAAATGGAAGTTGGGCTCATTCGACATTACATGCGAAAGATTTTTTTCCACATTTTTCAAAGATACAAAAAAGTGATTTATTCTGCTCATATTGATAATAAAAATTGTAGCTAATTTGGTTTATTCAGTGTATTTAGCTGTCTGTTAAATATCATAGGCCCTCATTCTTCCAAATGGTTTATTTAAGTACTTAGTAGTAATATTTGTAATATCATTCTGCATTCAAAAAATATTAAAAAGTTTAATAGAGAAAAAGCCGGTGTTTAGAGATGCATGTTTTCTCAAACAAATCATTTGTGTATTCAACTCTTGTCTAGTATTTTTGAAAGTTTTACTTCTTTGGTGAAAGACATTCAACATATTTTGTGTGATTATGCAACAGCATCCGTGTGACAAGAGCTTCATAAAACCAGTATGTTACTAAGAATAATGCTTTGCAATAATTGAGGAGAATACTGTTCGTATAACCATAACAAAGATGTGTTACAGACGTGAACTGTTAGTTTACTGAATTGCTGATTTGAATAAGTCAAAAGTTGGAATTGTTGGGCTTCTGTAATGAACTGTTTGGAAAGCGCTGTGAGATAACTTTTGTTGTGATTTGGTGCTATATAAATAACATTTAATTGAAAAAGAGGTTAAGCTACAAGAGGGAAAGAGACTACATGGATGAAAATGTTTTTTAAGAAAGTTAATTAGTTCAATTCTTAATTATCTATAACATCTTGTACCATAAATTCTTGCAAATGTTTTTGGTTTGATCCACTCGCTTCTGTTCATCACTGAACTGTTGCACAGTGCCAGTTGGATCTCTTGCATTTGCTTTTGATTTCTTTGTGACTGCTGTCTTTGCATTTGCATGATATTGTGTGTGTTCAGTGTAATCTGTGACCTGAAGAGCATGTAACCCACTGTAGGGTATATTTAATCTTCATAGAATGAGATGAGCCATATTGTCCTCCTTGGTTTAATAGTTGAGGATATATAATGTATGTACACTAAAAATATTATGGGATTCTTGACTTCTGTGTTTCTTTTATGCTCAGAACATGAATTGTTCTGTTGATGTAAAATAGCAGAGACGGCCTGTCTTCAACAGGTGGTAAAAAAATAGAGTAAACAGAATAAAATGTGGATCAATTTTACTATATGGTGATAGTTGGACTTTTCAGAGCTTTTCAGAGCTTTTCCGCTCAGCTGTTGTTGGTCCATGTGAAGAAATGAGTATCAAGCCAGATTTGCGTTTCTCTGCCAGCCAGGATTGTAATTCTTGTTTAATACTAAAGAAAAAGGGGAATATGACAAAAAACAAAAGTCCAAAATGCAATGAATACTGTTTTAACTGAGCCTGCAGAGGCTGTAACTGGGAAATCATTTCAAGACTGGAAGTTTTCCTTCCATCCGTCACAGTTCATCTCTGATGAATCGTACACTAAGAAAAGAAAGAAAAATTATACCTTTAAGGGTCAAAGACTGGGGATTCACTGGAGTGTCCTCAAAGGTCCTGCTGTTGCATTCCAGTACAAATGGACATGCTACAGCATTTACGAATTGGGAACACAAGTTAACCTTTCAGGGCCACTAAAACTAAAAATGCCTCAGGGTGCATAAATACAGAAAATACCTCATGAGACATCAGCCACTAGATGGTGCGGTAGGCTCTGTTCTGTGAGCCCCACTGTGAGCTGGAAATACCCTGCTTGCCGTGCATTGTTCATTCAAAACGGAAACAGAGAAGACAGAGGAAACTCAAGGAAAGAACAAGCTAGAAATAACAGGTAGCAAAAAAACACCTGATAACAGTAAAACTTGAACAGGAAACGAAAAAAAAAGTCCACAAAACACAAATTCATGGCACACAACACTGATGTCGGACCAGAGAGATGCTTCTCCACACACTGATGGTGTAAAAGTCGTGTATCTGTACGGTTTTTTGAGGCTCTTTTAGACTTTGGTGGAGATTTCCTGCTTCTTTGACCTGTTATTTTTTTCTAGAAAAAGTGGACAGGAAATGAAGCGCCTTCCTGTTTTGCTATTGGCGGCTTCCCTAAAAGGTCCAGTAATACAGCCAACAGAAACACAACATTAATGAGAAGGGTGCGTTTGAGTGAAGTCTACAGTGTGAGTTGTTCACACTTAAGTAACACAACACTAGTTCTTTATACCATGATTTCTTTTGTTTAAATCAGAGTGCTCTCAGAAGAGAGGAAATCCACTCCAAATAACAAAACATATTAAAGATAAACCCAATGTCAGTAATTTCCTTCAGGTTTCAAAAACAAAGGGCCCTAATGCAGAGATTTGGTGAGTTAGATGGAATATTATTTGCCTGTTGTGTCAGTTTGGTCATGTGTTGGGGCTCAGCTGAAAAATTTCCTTCTCTAGATTTTGTAGACTGCTTGCAACAGTATTTATTAATTCTGTCACTGTCTTTGGAGGACATTTCCTGAACCGTTGGCAGGTTATTTTTTTACTAAAACTGTTGACACAGTCTGAATTATGTCCGTCAACAGCCCTGAAATAACAGATTCCAGCTCTGATTCCATTTTCCCATAAGCCAGCATTGCCCACTGGGCAGCTGAGACATTGTTGAAATGTCTTTTAACTAATGGATGAATGATCTCTTCTGTTATGAGGATGGTTCCTGTGTTGGATTGTTGTTGTCCCATTGCCAAGTATTTTGGTTTTCCTTTCTTTGTCTTGGTTGGAGTGAAAAAAAGTGCGTGCGCTCAGCCCAGTAATGATTCTGATATGCAGTTCTTCAGAACATAGAGCCTATATTACATACCTTCTACAGCCTTCTACAAGACAGGTTCCACGTTAGTTGGGGGGAGGGGGGGGGGGGGGGCCTAAATCGTGTGACAATTACCACGTGACCATTCTTCAAACCCAGAGTTTGACCTGCTCATGGATCGTTTACGGGTCACTGGCGGTCAGCTACCCGCAAACCAGGTCTCGTGACTGCGAAAACCAACCCCGAAACCCCCGGCCACCTGCAGAGAAATAACTGCACACAGCTTCTCTGTGTCCTGCCCCTTCCGGAGCTCTGAAGAACAGTCTGAACTCTTCAGACAGCAGCTGGTTTGGGACGCGCTGCAGATGGAGGTCTGTGAGACCCAAAAGCTGCCAGCATCAGCCACCAGGTGGCGCAGTAGGCTCTGTTCTGTGAGTCCCACCGTGAGCTGGAAATACCCTGCTTTTTTATGTTTCCCCCCACAAGGGCAGTCCCAGCGTTTGTTTTGATATAATAAATGACAAAGTCATTCCAGAAGCAGTGCCATGTGTTTATTCAGTTTCCAAAACGGAGTGTGTTAAGTGTCTGAAAATGGCTAAATTAGATTAAGAAACAGCATACAAGTCACTTTATTCACATACAACAATAATATGTGCGTAGAAGTTTGGTGGTGTGTGTGAGAGAGTGTGATATTATGAGAGACCAACTTGATCAGACTGTTTACTCCAAAGATCTGTGTTTCTTTTGAACCACCTGCCTTTTTTACTACTACTTTACTACTACTTTAACGCTTACAAAATGATCAGCGAGTAAAACTGTCTTTTTATTATTATTATTATTATTATTATTATTATTATTATTATTATTATT